AAAAAATTAATTATCATTTATATAAAATATTAAATTCTCATTTAAAATTCAGTCCGAAAGTAAGTCAAAATAGAAATATTAAAATTGAATATATAGAAGAAGTATGATGTATTAATTTATTTTGGTTAAAACCCTATTTTGTTCTCTGAACTATTGTATGGACCCTGATTTGGTCCCTAAACTTAAAAAATTCTTGATTTGGTCTTTATTATTTACCATTTTTACCTCGATTTGGTCCTTCCATTAAAAATCTGCCTACATGTTCTATTATTTGACGTGAGAAAGATGAAATGTAAAATTATTTTAACACATAGGATGTACAGCATGCCAAAAATAATGATATGGCAAGAAAACACCTTATCTCTCTTTTTTTTTTTTTTTTCTTTTTGTTGGGTTCTTCCTCTTCCTTTCCTTTTTGCTACTGTAAACCCTAACACCTAAAACCACCTTCGATTTTCCTCACCAAATCAATTCATCTTCTTCCCCTTGATTTTCCTCGCCTCTTTCTCTTCCAGATCTAGTTGTTCACATCACCCATTGCTTGCGTGCCTAACAGATCGAAGACCACCACAAATCAAATCTCAAAATCTACCCCAATCCAATGGAATATGGCTCTTTTATGTAAGGGTAGCAATAACAATAAAAGCTTCTTCAAGAAAATGAAGAAAGTATTAAATTAATACCCAAAAAATAAAAAGATGGAAAATAAAACTTTTTAAAGCTCTATTTGTTTCTCAAGAAAACAAAGGGAAAGTGGGTACAAAAAGGAGACATGCACAAAACCTAGGGGGAGAAGAGGATGAAAGATTCAGCAACAAAGAATGGTGAATCTGAGGAAAACTCAAGCTAAGACTCAAACCCAGATCTTCTTTATCAACCATCATGTTTTCTCTCTCACCAAACAAGATCCAAGAAACAAAGTCTGCTTCAAGATTTTAGATTTAAGAGGAAAAAGGAGACAAGTTGCTTGGTTCAAAAGAACTTAGCGACTATTGGGTTTGAAAGAACCTAGCAAAGCTGTTGGGTTTGAAGGAACCCATCAGCGCTTGCTAGGTTCGAACCCAACAGTGCCTGCTAGGTTCGAGCAACACCTACTGGTTCAAAGTTCTTGGCTCTGCTTCCTTGCTCTGCCTTGGGAATCTCAGATAGTTAGGAAAAGTATAAGGGTTTGTAGAAGGCAAAGGAAAGGAAGAGGAAAGAGAACCAGATCTGGTGTTGGGGAAGGGAGAGAGAAAATGTAAGGATTTAGATTTTAGAGGTTGGATATAAGGGTAATATAGTCATTTTATTATGTTTAGAGATTATTTAGATAATTTTTTTTGTGAAGTCATGTATTTTGCCTCGTTATAATTTCATGTATTTTATTTATTAAAAAGACATGCCCTTGTCATTAGCTAACATGCCACGTCAATAAAAATTTAACAGAAGGATCAAGTTGGGGTAAAAATGGTAAACAGTAGGAACCAAATCAAGGATTTTTTAAGCTTAGGGACCAAATCAGGTCTGTAAAATAGTTCAGGGACCCAAATGGGGTTTTGACCATTTATTTTTTATAAATAGAAATTCAATTGCTGATTTGTTCGTTACATTGTTTAAGAGTGTCACGCCCTAGGCGAGTCGCGAGTTTCGGATGATGGGCATTGGGCTGTCAGTTTTCTGCGAGCCTGCCGAATCGAAAGTTGGGGCCATTTAGTTGGGAGTTTGGGTTAACCGAATGGATCAGTCCATTGCTCCTCGATCCAAACCACTTCGCAAAGTTCAACACACTTTTGGATGGCAGTTCAAAGAAAAAAAAAAAAAGTTTTACAAACTGCTTAATTTTCAAATAATTTGATTTATTATTTAATTAGATCAATAACATATATTTTTTTTTATTTTTTTTTATATAGGAGAGTTTGATCCAAAACCCAATATTGTAAGTTAAAATAATTAAAGGAATTCAAAGCAAAAATATAGTAAGGGAAGTTTCTTCTGTCTTTTTTTCCAAACATTTTTATAATCTAATAAAAAGGTTGTCTCCCTTGTCTTCTTTTTTCCCGTCTCCCTTAAACCAAATCAAATATAACCAACTTTGATACAAAATCAAATTAAATCATTTAAATTCAATCTTATATGTATAATCAAATTAATTGCTGATCCCAAATAAAAATTAAATAAATTAATTCAAAGTATTTTTATATTTTAAAAAAAAAAAAACTAGAAATATACTTTTTAGTTTTTATGGTTGATGGTGACTCTCATCAGTTGCTAGAAAACTATTAATTTATACATAATAAAAATCTGGTTCGCCACTTAACCTCAAGAATTCTTTAGTTAATAAGAATTTAATATTTTAATTTAAAAGTTTAATGTGAAAACTTTTCTATACATAATTATGTAGTTTTGGGTATGAAAAATAGGTAAATTATCTTATTGAGCAGTTCATCTTAAAAGAATAAAATTCCTGTTGAGCGGTCGCGGTTAGTTACAAGAGTATCGAGATGGCACATATCCAAGGAATTCCTAGTACAATTTGTGTGAACAACAATATTGTTGAAAACATTTAGAACAAGGAAAGGCAACACTCATCCTTATCTTGTCACCTAAGTGTGCTCCCATCCACACAAAACCCTGTCTGGCCGGCTCCGAGGATG